GGTGCTACTGATGATATCCTGAGATATTAAAGCACACTGCCTCTGTACCCCTAGGACAACAGACCTGAGCTACTCTGTTACACATACCCACTCTGGAGACTCCTCCCCTCCTCAAACATGAGACATTTTTGCCTACCACACACACAGTGAAGATGCCCAGATAAGCTAACCACTTCATACCTCAGGCAAGTAGGTAAACACAAGCATACACACACACAAATGTACCCCGCCTCCCACATGCTGCTGCATACTACATACTGAGACCCTCAGATATGCTGCAAAGCATGCCCTATCAAAGCTGAGACATTCCAGAATGTGGCCACAAAACACCCAGGCTGACTCCACATGCCCACTCACATCTGTGTACTTGAGACCCTGTAGTTCACTGTCTCCACACACCAAAGGTACCAGATCCTCTGCCCCACACGTCCACCAGACACCAGACCCACATAAACAAACGTAACACATAAGACACCAAGGTACAGTGTCCACAGATGTCTTAGTGTAAGACATACTGCACTAGCATACTGTCCCTGGACCCAGAGACAGCCAGAATCATTGCCTCTTAAGACACTTGAGGCAGCAACATGTGAAGTCAAATCCGCCATTTGCGATGGCTAAGCTTAGGTCCTGCTTAGAGGGCCACGTAGGCCGCCAGGTGCAGTCCCATCCACACCCACATCTCAGCACCAGGTACGGATCCCTGTCAGCAGCCTGAGTCACTGAGCCTTCAGGCAACTCTACCAACCTTTGTTAAATAAGCCCCTAGGTGCTGCGGGTACCGGCTGCCTGCATGAACGGTCTCTCTTACATACACCGGACTTCCCCTACCGATCCCCTCTAGTTAATTGGAGGCCCCGATGCTGGGCCCAGATGGAAACACGGAGATGTGGTAGGAACTGGACGCGAGCAGGGGTTGAGGAGGAGACAGCCCAGAATCTGGGAGACCCGGCACCGCAGGTAAGGTCGGAAGGGGAAAGCAGACGGAAGGGCGGCAGGAGGAAACGCAGCTGCGGAAGGGAAGAATCCAGGAAGAGAAAGGGAGCCCCGGCATCCCGCGGACGCACCTCAAGCCACCGCCGCTTCGCCTGCGCGCCCCACCCCGGGGCGCTCTGCTTGGTAGGGACCTCACCTGGCGAAGGCGGAAGCGCCGGCTGCGCAGCCGCCCAGGTTGCTCCGACTAAATCCGGAGAAGGGCGGGACAGGAGTAAATTCCGCGGAGGGCGGGGACCTGGCGGCTGGCCCGGGACTGGCAAGGGCCTCGCCCCCGGTTCCTGGGTAAGAGTCCGTGAGGGTCACCAACGCGACTGGCCTTTCTCCTCCACCCCTGATCCACCTCTAGACCATGAAAAGCCTGCTTTCATTTGTCCTTTGCTCGCCTTCCTTCACACCGTCTGTCCACATTTTTGGAAGAACTTTCTAATCCTTCCCAGGCTCTGCTCCTCCTGACCTGTCCCCCACGCCCTCTCCCAGAATCCTTCACTTGTCTCAACCCCGACCCCACTCCTTAAATAAGCACCAGGTAGAGCTTAGCCTGCCCAGGCAGTGGCAATAGAAGGCTAAACGGGACATACTCCCTACCATGGAGTAGGGGGGAGAGCTTCCACCAACTCCTTAATTAATGAAGGAAAGCCAGGCGATACGCAGTGCTTTGGGGTGGGTCCAGGGCCAAGAGATGTGCATTGGCACCAGAAGTCAGCCCGCAGCCTAGACAGAGCCTATGTGGATCATGGGCAGCACTCCATGCCTCAGGGCGCTCCTCCCCTTACTGACACTTTCTGGTCTCTTTCCAGTATAACTCCCAGCCCCCATGGAGCCTCTGCTGACCCCAGGGCTCTGAACATTGCAACCTGTCCTGTGGTCACAGGGACACAGTTCAGGGCCTTGAAGAATGCCCTAAGGAAAAGCATTCCCTTTCCCTTTTCGTTGGGGTCCACAGAGGAAGCTGCTAGTCTTAGGACATTTGGTTAGCCTCCTGTCCCCAGGAAGAATGTGTGAATGTGGCAGCTGCTGTCCCAGAGGTCTCTTGGAGAAAAAGCCCTCCTTGTCTTGTTAAACACATGGGATGTTCCAGCACTGATAGGAAAATCTTAGTAATGCGGTTCTTCATGTACTGTTTTCTTGCTAATTCTCTTGCCCTCCAGCCATGCCAACTCATCATACTGTAGCTGCTTTCTCTCCCTGATACATGCTGTAGGCCACAAGGGAGGGGCTTGCTCATCCCTGGGTTCTAAGTACCTAGGACAGTGTAGGTATATAATAGGCACAGTGTATGTTGATCGTAAGGAAATCTGCTCAGTCATCATTCCCTTGTAGATGATCTGACTTTACTACTTGTTTTTAAGATATCATGATATCATTGGTGTTTTGTAGTTTTATCGCAATGTGTCTAGATGTCGATTCCTTTCTATTTATTATGCTCAGTATGTTATATTTCCTGCATCTATGAATTCATGTCTTTCATCACTTTTGGAAAATTCTCAGCCAATATGGCTCTCAAATATGCTTTTTTTTTTTTGAGACAGAGTCTCACTTCATCGCCCCAGGTAGAGTGCTGTGGCGTCACAGCTCACAGCAACTTCAAACTCTTAGGCTCAAGCGATTCTCTTGCCTTAGCTTCCCAAGTAGCTGGGACTATAGGCATCCGCTACAACATCTAGCTGCTTTTTTTTTTTT